GGGGGCTCTGTGCTCTAGCTTCTGGGGGCCGTGTGCACGCTCTGCTGGGGGCCGTGTGCACACCCTGCTGGGGGCCCTGTGCACTCTCTGCTGGGGGCCGTGTGCACTCTCTGCTGGGGGCCGTGTGCATTGTTGTTTACTCCTGCTGTTTACCTCAGACATTCTTCTGCACTCACTCAGGGAAGGGATAGGGGGTTAACAGACAACACTCCAACAGTTTAAGGAACCAAATAACATTAACAGGTGAGAAAGAACAACCACCATTTTAACTGTCCCCTTACTTCTCCTTTGCCTCCAACATATTCTATTAACCGATATCGAACGTCCCTACTCCAGACCATGTGATTCATTCATTCCTTGATCGTTGATCCCAGCCTGGAGAACTGTCCTGTAGTTCTCTGCAAGTTACTTTCCATAGCTGAATAGGGATGTGATTCGGCCTTAGCACCACCTGGAGCATGGCACCGGTCCCCCCGAGGCCTCAGAGCCCCTTAGAGAGGCAGAGCAGCACTCCCATGACTATTAGGAAGCTTGTGGGCACCATTCACAAAGCGTGTCCGAGGGAATCTGTCTAGTGCCGTGGTTCCCAAACTTTTCGGTATCATGCCCCCTTTTGGATTTTTGAGAAACCCTCATGCCCCCCCTCCCCTCCCCCAGCAGCAAAACTTGTTGAGCAAAAAAAAAAAAGGAACCAAGTGGGGCCGAAAAACAAAAATAGCAAGGGGAGTGTGTGTGTGTGTGTGTGTGTGTGTGTGTGTGTGTGTGTGTGACCTTCACGCCCCCCAGTGTGGGAACCCTTGGTCTACTGGGAATCTGTGCAGAGATGCGTCTGATCTCGGGGTGGGGAGGCTGCACCCCAAGCTGCCCCTCGCTAGCAAGGCCCAGAGCCAGCACAACTCAGCTACACAAATGCAAGAAGCTCCTGTCACACACTCGGCATACCGCCTAGGGGCACCCTGAATCCCTTCCCCTACCCCACAAGTTCCCATTCTCCACTGCAGGGGCTCCCTGCTGCCCCCAGCCCATCTCCCCTGTTGCCAGAGGCTCTTGGTGCCTCCTTGCCTCCTGCCCCAGCCAGGGTCCTCCATTCTCCTGCCCATGCCCAGGGTTGTTCGTCAGCCCCCCTTCCCTCTCCCACCATGGCTCTTTGCTGAGGCGCAGTCACTTCCCCTACCCCACAAGTTCCCATTCTCCACTGCAGGGGCTCCCTGCTGCCCCCAGCCCATCTCCCCTGTTGCCAGAGGCTCTTGGTGCCTCCTTGCCTCCTGCCCCAGCCAGGGTCCTCCATTCTCCTGCCCATGCCCAGGGTTGTTCGTCAGCCCCCCTTCCCTCTCCCACCATGGCTCTTTGCTGAGGCGCAGTCACTTGGGGTTAACATGCTTAGCTCTGGTGGGAGGCTGGGCAGAGCAGGTCAGGGTGATGTTGAGCCACAAGGTACAAATGAGGCTCTGATTTGTGCCCATCACAGAGGTGACTGTGTCCCTGTGTCCCCCTTTATTTCTCTGGTTCTCCCCAGACCCGTAGGGTGTCCAGAGCATTCCTGGTGCTTTGCAATGTATTGGACCTGGTGCCCAGACGCCTTTGTGTTACAGACACCAAGTGAAATGCTGAGGAGTTGTGGGCAGGGCCCTCACAAGCTTGGCCAACACTAAGATACACGTTGCTCCACAGCCAAGGTCACCCTGACCTGACTGAGTTGTCAGTGGATCAGGGCCAAGCCCCGAACTTGATCCCTGGCTGCAGAGGTTGGTTGTGTGTGACAAATCCTGACCACGTAGCAATACAGAAACTGCAGACTTCAGCTGGACTGGAACCTGGGACCTTCTGCTTAAATCTCTAGGAGCCAAGAACTAGGCTCCAGCCTCTGGTGCCCTCCACTACTGGGGTGCAGGGACATTCACAGGCACACACAGCCAGTGTCCTTCATGTGTGTCACAAAATTGGCTGGCACCCAGGGTGGTGTGAGGGTGTGTGGGGACTGCACCCTGGGGTGGGGGTCAGGGTGCATGGGCAAAGCACATGGGAGGAAGGCAAGGAGTGGAGAGAAGGCATATGGAGTTGGGGGTGCAGTGTGTGTAGGACTGGCACATGGGGGTGGGGGAAGGGTATGTCAGGCTGGCATGGGGGGGAAGGAGGCAGGGTGTGTGAGGCTGTGTGGGACCTGGTTGTCAGAGGCAGAAGATGCGGGCAGGGTGTGTGGCATTGGTTCCTGGAGGGAAAGGGTGTGTGGGGCTGGCAAGTAGGAAGTGTGGAGCAGATAATGGACAGGCAGTGTGGGGCTGGCACCCAGGGATGGGGGAATTATGTGTCAGGGTGAGGTACAGGGTTTGTGGGGCTGGTGAGTGGGATATAGTGTGTGTGTGGAGCTGGCACGTGAGGAGTGGCACAAAGGGGGAGCCAGAGGTGGGGATGAGGTGGCACAAAAGGGAGGGAGCAAAAATTGAGTGGCTTGGCGCATGGTGGGAGACAGCATGGGAGGGGGCTGAAGATGAGGATGGAGTAGTGCCTAGGAAGGAGTCTGGCAGAAAGGGATCTCGGAGTCACAGCAGACACCAAGCTAAATATGAGTCAATGGTGTGACACTGTTGCAAAAAAAGCAAACCTGATTCTGGGAGGCATTAACAGGAGTGTTGTGAGCAAGACACGAGAAGTCATTCTTCCACTCTACTCTGCACTGGTTAAGCCTCAGCTGGAGTATTGAGTATAGTTCTGGTCACCACATTTCAAGAAAGATGTGGAGAAACTGGAATAGGTCCAAAGAAGAGCAACAAAAATGATTAAAGGTCCCAATGTTTCTCAACCAGTGATATGAGTAACCTTAAGGGTCCTCGAGAGAAGTCTGGGGAGGTACATCAACACAATTGAAATTTGGAGAAAACTGAATTTTTGTTTTAAATTTTACAGCTTTTTATTGTTTTTGTACTTTTTACACCCAAAAATGTCATCACCCCCCCAGCTCCGATTACATTGTTTAAACAAATGTGTTGCAATAGTAGAAAAAAATTGTGTGTCAGAAAACTGTAGGTACTGAGGAGACTTATTTTTTTAAAGGGTGTACTTTATAAAAAGGATTGAGAACCACTGGTCTAGAAAACATGAGCTACGAGGGAAGGCTGAAAGAATTGGGCTTGTTTCGTTTGGAAAGAAGAAAACAGAGGGGACATGACAGCGGTTTTCAGGTATCTAAAAGGGTGTCACAGGAAGGAAGAGGGGAAATTGTTCTTCCTGGCCTCTGAGGATAGGACAAGAAGCAATGGGCTTAAACTGCAGCAAGGGAGGTTTAGGTTGGACATTAGGGAAAACTTCCTAACTGTCAGGGTGGTTAAACACTGGAATAAATTGCCCAGGGAGGTTGTGGAATCCCCATCCCTGGAGATATTGACGAGCAGGTTGGACAGACACCTGTCAGGGATGATCTAGACGGTGCTTGGCCCTGCCGTGAGGGCAGGGGACTGGACTTGATGACCCCTCGAGGTCCCTTCCAGTTCTAGTGCTCTAGGATTCTGTGGGTAGGGGACAGGAATCTGGTGGAGTGGCACATCAGGGGACAGCAGGTGGGGGATGGGTCAGGGATTGGAGGCAGCAGATCAGGGAGAACAGAATGGAAGATGGCACTTTGGAGATGGGGCAGGGGGTGAGAGTGGAGGGGCTGGCACACATGGCTGAGGGCAGGGGTTGGGACTGGCACAGGGACAGCTGTGGTAGGAGTCCAGAGGGAATGCAGTTTTGCCCTTAAGCCTGCCACAAGAAGGTAATGGCCTGTGTCCCAAGCTGGCATTGAGCAGGCCGGGCGGCATTTGCGGGCCTGGACGCTGGGGCAGAGTTCGCTGGATTTCTCTCCCATGGATTCTCTGAGTTAACAATAAACCCACATGCCGAGTCTGGCAGGGCAGAGTGGCACCTCGGCTGCAGCCTGCCCGGTCCCAACCTGCCTGTCCTGTGTCAACAAGGCAGGGAGTGTGTGCAAATTACACCACCCAGAGCCAGGAAAGCCCTGTGAGTGGCAGCCACCAGGCAGCCCTGGGGCTGAGGACCGTGCCTGCAGGTCTTGAGCAGGGCAGGGCATGGTTGCTGGAACAGGGGGCAGAGGTGTGTAAAGACTGGTGGGCAGACATGTGGGCATGGTGCATTGTGGCTGGGGAAGGCGGGGGGTGGCATGGTGTGGCCCAAGTGAGGGATTGATATGGCAGGGCAGAAGTGATGGCAAACCATGCCAGGCTGTGCCCAGGGGTATAGCCTGGCACAGGAGTTTGAGTGGTGGTGGCTGTGTTGTGCCTGATGAGGATAGGGGCATGATGTGACTAGCAGGTTCATGGGCCGTGGCTGGTGAGGGCAAGGGGGATGTGGCACGGAGGGTGGGGATGTGGTTGGCAGGGACGTGGGGGGCACGGTACAATCAAGTGCTTACAGTAGAGTTTTGTAAATAGTTCAAGTGCTCAGGAAAGTTTCCATGCCAAGTTACAAAAGCAAGAACTGACGGATGATGCCAGGCCAAATTCCCAGCAGAGACCAAGTCCCCAGTTTCTTTTATTTTCCTGTAATTCTTTTGTGAGCAAAGACATGATTTTCATTTCAGCTAATGCTGTTCCACCAACATTTTGCGGGAACAGTTTCAGGTTACTTGGAAATCTGTCAATGGTGACAAATTCTATAGCTACACTTTGATCTGACTTGGCTGTATGTAACTTACAGTCCTGTTTTCTGTTCTGCTCTATAAAAACACCGTTCTTTTATTAAGAACATATATGTGTCTGTGGAAATTCTGGCATTTAAAATTAGTAAAATGTGACTCTTTGGCAGCTGCTTTTTGAAACAACAAATCAGCGAAAACACACCATGTTCCCAATGATATCAGGAATGGGAAACACAAGAGAATGACAACGATTATAGATATCACTGACAGGAGATCTCAGAAGCAAATGGTGCAGACATCAAGGTAAAAATACCTGCAGAGTTCAAGGGTTCTCCTTTAGCATTACTGTGTGGGTAGGTATCTTTTCTGACTTGCTCAAACACACAGACCACTCAGCATGTAGTGCTGGATGCCAAGCAGTCACTATTTTTTTGGTCAATGCTCCAACCTCCAGAGCCCCATGGCTCTGTGATCCAAACAGCTGCAGTGTGCTAGCTGAGAACATCCCGCTGGCCTCCTGCAGATCCCAGCCCCACTCGGCCCCACATGCCAATGCCTATGAGACCGAGGTGACTGCTACCCAGCACAGGCCGGGCAGGAAGAGGCAGGGGCCTGCGCGAGATGCTTCCCACAGGGCCCGTCCTGCGTGTGTGCCAGCTGATGACTCTCCACTGCAGTGCTATTGGAAAACAACTTGTTTTCATTCTATGTTAGCCAGCCCAAGGCCCTGCAGACAGATAAAGGTCTGCTTATGCCTTGCACATGTTTATAGCTTCGCTGGGACACGCTGCTCCTGGAAACATTACATCAGTGGGGCCTGGGAGAGTGGAGTTTGCCTTTCACCTACATCTGTGACTTCCAGGATAGCCCAGGGCTGGCTCCCAGGACAGCCGGATACAGGGTCACCCTGTGTGGGGCCAGGGAGCACGTGGGCAGTGCCTGGCACTCACTGTACTGCTCAAGGGTCCCAGGGTCAGAAAGTCTGCCCCAGAAAATTCCCTTTCTGTGCTGCCGTCTCTCCTCATCAGTCCAAGCCAGACTCAACAGCACAAACAGCATGACAATTATTGGTATTGTGGTAGTACCCGGGCACCTGCCATGGTCCAGCCCCTTGGCCTGCCTTGTGCTAGGTGCTGTACATTATTAAGGTGCATTACGGTAGCACCTACCAGCCCACGTCATAGACCAGCCCTTTGGTGGTGTAGGTGCTGTACATTATTTAAGGCATAGGCACTAACTCCATGGGGCTCTGGGGGTTGGAGCATTGACCAAAAAAATAGTGACTGCTCAGCATCCACTGGCAGCCCCGAAGGTCAGCACCTGGCTGTCTCTCCATTGTGTCCCACCTACCGGTCACTCGGATGTTCACCTCCTCCCCACCTGCCCTCCCGACAACTGGCAGGCCACACTAATCAGCTTCATCCCTCCCCCACTTCCAGCTGCTCCGCGGTGTGCTGGAGACACTGAGCGGGGGCAGGAAGAAGCAGAGGAGGGGCAGGAAGGGATGGGGGCTTTGGGAGAGTGGGGGCTGGGCCTAGGGAAGAGTGTTGTTCAAGCCCTGAGTAAGTTGGTGCCATGATTTAAGGCAGTGGTCACCAACCAGTATCAAGATCTACGGGTAAATCTTGGAGCCTCTGACAGGGGATCCCGACTGGTTTGGCTGGGAAGCTAGCAAGCACTGGCACTTCAGCTGCCCCTCCACCCACTTCCATGCTGCTCCTGCCTCTGTCTTGGAGCTGGCCCCCTGCTTTCTGTGCAGGGTGTGGGAGGGAGAAGGGCCGCTGATGTCAGGGTGTCCCTCCTCCCCCCACTTCTGTACCCCGTCTCCACACAGAAATAAGGGGATGGAGGGAGCTTGGCAATAGAAATCTGTCACTCTCACACAGTGTTTGTGTCTGTCATGCTGTGGCTATGTCTACACTGGCAGGTTCTTCCGCAGAGCGGCCACACTGCCCACCCACGTTTGCACAAGAAGATTTACAGGACGGCGTGGGAAGAGAGAGCGTCTTGCACAAGAGCTACGCTCTTTTCTAACAAGTGTAGGCTCTCTTGTGCAGGAGGACAGTGTGGACGTGGCAGGGGTTTCTTGCAGAAGAAAGCCCTATGGCTAAAATGGCCACCAGAGCCTTCTTGTGCAAGAGAGCGTCCATACGGCCATGGATGCTCTTGCGCAGAAGCACATGGCGGTGTGGACATGTTCTTGCACAAGAAGCCACCAGTGTAGACATAGCCACACTGTCCTTCACTCTGACCTCCTGACCAGACACATACGTGGGGACTGTTGTTACTACTTTTACTGCTTCTTAGTTTGGGGTTTTCACTGGTTTGTGCATTTCATAATTTTCATTTCTCTTTTACACTTAAATTTAATATTTTGAGTAGTGAATTCTCAAATGCCTAATTGAAGTAGTTATCCCTGTGGTAATTGCTGCTCCTGGAAGTGGCTGGCACATCCCTGCAGCTCCTGAGAAAGGCAGAGCAGGGAGTCTCCACATGCTGTCCTTGCCTGCAGACACCACCCCTGCATCTCCCATTGATCAATAACAGGGAAACAGTGACCAGTAGAAGCTGTGGGTTCAATGCCTGTAGATGAGGGGCAGCACATGGCACCATGGCGCCATTGCTGTACATGCCAGCTGCTTTCAAGGAGTAGCGCAGGACCAGGGCAGGAGTAAGCCTGCCTTAACTCCACAGCTCCACCACCCAGAAGCTGTCTCAGTTAAATGGTGCCCATCCTATACCCCTGTTCCCAGCCCTGAACCTCCTTCTGCACCCAGTCTCCTGTCCCAGACGCAAGTTCCTCTGCACCCAAACTCCTTTCTAGAGCTTGCACTTTGAAACCTCTCCTGGACTCCAATCTTCCATCCTGAGCTAAGCCTGGAGCCCCTCCCACACTCCAAACCCCTTAGCCCAAGACCAGACTTGCAACACAACCCCCTACCCCAGCATGGTGAAAGTGAGTGAGGTTCGGGGAAGAAGGGGGATGGAGTGAACAGGGTGAGGTCTAGGAAAAGGGGTGGGGTGGGGCAGGGCAGGGCCTCAAAGAAGGCCAGGGAAAAAAGTGGGGAAGGTTATCTGGGTTTGAGTTGTGAGAGATGCAGCCGTGTTAGTCTGGTGCAGCTGAAACAAAAGACAGAACGATGTAGCACTTTAAAGACTAACAAGATGGCTTATTATTGGGTTTAAGTTAGATCTTACATTTCGCTCACATTGAAAAAAGTGATCTTGTGGTTATAAAGGTTGGAGATCACTGACTTAAGGTATATTACAGTAGTGCCTAGGAGCCTACAGCCCCCCTCCTCGCACTCTGCTTGGTGCAATACACTATTTAAAGAGTATGATAGCACCCATCTTTGACCAGGCCCCCGTGTGCTTGGTGCTACACTGGCAGAACAAAGGAATGGTGCCTGCTCTGGAAAGCCCATCCTCTAAATGCAAATCAAGGTAGGGAAAAGTGAACAGTTTCTGAACAAACCAGAAGCTGTAAATTACGTGTGCAAATATTCAGCAAATCTGTATAAATAATTAATCCACACAACGAATAGTCCAAAATACAAATTGTTGCTGGGTAATAACACAAGAGGGCTCCCTGATTGTAAAACTAAACTGACTCCATATTAAAAGATCTAGTTACAGAGATGTTGAAACTTCAGGGAGCATTCCAGCCATGCGCACACAGACTGGCTTACTGGTACTTCCGCCAAACTCCTCCCTGCTGCAACCTGTGCTTAGGGTTGCCAGATGGCTTAACCAAAAATACCCCCCCCCCCCCCCCCAAAAAAAAAACACACCAGGGGAAAAATTCTGTTGGGGGAAAAAAAAAAAAAAAAAGAGGACCCCGAGAGTTATTAAGCAAAAAAAATGAAATAAATTTAAAAAACCCAGCATGGCCTCTTTAAGAAATGCCTTTGAGGCTTTTTGGCCTGAACAGGCTGCCGGTGGCCATCTGCCATCTTGTTGCCCTGTTTCGGGCCAGACAGCTCTTCTGCAGAACCAGATAAGCACCTGGGATTTTCACCTCCTGGCTGGGAAAAAAAAAAAAAAAAAATCAGAAGATACCAGACATTTTAGGTGTCCAGTGTTTTCTGAATTTTTTTTACCGGACAGGAGGCGAAAATACTGGACTGTCCAGGTCAATACCGGACACCTGGCCACCCTACCTGTGCTCCTCTCTCCAACTTCCTGCAGATTGCTATGGGAATCACTAACTGCAAAGGGGCAGCACTTGCAATGAGCACTGCTGGTAAAGAATTACTAGACCAGTTCTTATCAACTGGGTGACCCTGGAGAGGTCACACCCCTCGCTGGGCTTGCGTTTGCCCTCCACTCTTGTCTGTTTAGTGCCCTGGCATAGGGCCTCTCCCTTCTGCTGTATTTGTACACGACCCGACACGCTCGGCTGGGGCCTGAGGTGAGGGTTGCCAGGTGTCTGGTTTTGACTGGAAAGCCTGGTTGAAAGGAGACCCGGTCCAGGTCCTGGAATAACTGCAGTCAGCCTCCCTGCTGAGAGGATGGGACGTGCAGCAGCTGCTGACAGACAGAACTGGCTGTCTCCTGCACTCAGCTTCAGCCTCTCTGGCAGAAGGGAACCTGCGTAGCCATCTGGGGAGAACCTGTCCACTTCCCCCTAAGCCTTGATTCCCCCCAGACCTTTGCTGTGGGGACTGGCCGCCCCCTCTGCACAGCACACAGAACAATGCTGAAGCATTGCAGTAATACACATCATTAATAATATCCCTCTGGCCCCTGGTTCTTATTTCCTTCCAGGGCATGTGCAGGAAAGTGAAGGAGATGCTTCCCTTCCTGGAGTCTGCTCCCCCAAAGCCACCTGCCCTCCAAGTCCCAGTAGCTCCCCTTGCTCCTTCTCCCATCCCTCTGCATGCTCCCCTCCCCATTGTGGTGGACACACCCTCAGCTAATGGGGCCCTTGTCATGGACAGTTTTGTACCCCTGGCTTGCTGCTCTGAAGGGCTGCACTAGTTGTCACCCAAATCCCTGCGATTTGGTAAGTTAGCCTCTGGGGTATTCCCTACCAGCTGGGACACACTCTTCAAAGGCAGCCCCAGACAGGGAGCCAGCCCCAGTGCTCTTCAGAGCTCCTCAGGAGTCGGAGCAAAATCCTCAGCAAGGCGAGAAGGGCCAGATGCCATTTGGGTGAGAGGTAACGTGGGGACAGAAAATAAAAATCAAAGGGAGCTGGAGATAGGACAGGAAATGAGACGTGAGTCAGCCAGCAAACATGCTCTCTCAGAGGCAATGCACGGAGAACAGGGAGTCCAAGATACGGTTCACAAAAGCTTAGG